CTTGCTGTTGAGGAATACTAGAGCCTTAAAGGCATAGTTCACCCAAAATGCTCTTCAAAACATTTTCTTGCTTGTTCCACAGAAGAATAAATGCATTCAGGTTTAGAATGACATGAAGGTGAGTAAAATTCATTTTTTGGGTGAACTATCACCTTTAAGTATCATTCATATCGACAAATATTAAATTCACATATGCATTAGTGAAAGAGAAAATTGTTTTAATTTGAACATTACCGATCGGAATTTGAAATGACTCAATGTTGATCATACTATATTGATATTTGCTTGTATTATATATGTGAGCATGTTATTATACTGAGTGTTAGTATATAAAATGGATATCTATACAGCACTTTTCATTTTGATGTTTATTTGCAGGCAGATTTTTAAGTGATTTAATGTGTATTCATAACTTTTATTTCAGAAGCACCTTTGAATACCTGCATAACTCGAGAAACTTTTGTTGAAATCTATGTTTAGTATATAAATTATCAGCAAAAGCACACACTCATGCACAAACGAGGACTTAAACTCATTCGTCTGCAGAGAACATTTCCTTTGTGCACAGTGGCTGCGGAATCATTGAGGCTCCCTCAGCAGGCCTCTGATTTATGACGGTACAACATCGCTGTTTAGTTTTTGCATATGCAACTACAGAAAAGATAAAAGAGCGAGGGAGAGGTGAAGAGAAAGACAGAGAAAAGTGCTGGCATCCACCATGCATTGAGAAGAGACTCAGGGCGGGTAGTTTAGGTTGAATGAAATCCTAAAAGCTTTTTCATCAAATGGGGGAGAAAAAATGGGGAACTGCTCATAGGGGATAGTGAAAATTACTTCTCAGAACGATTTTCTTAAGTGGAATCAGAGAGAGTGCGAAATGCTAAGACACTGAACAGATGTTTTAATGATATAGAGGACACATAGAGGACACCAGTGGAAGTTCTTGTACAACAGTAGAAGAAGTGGTTTGGATTGTCTTTTATACTTGTGGTTATTGGGGAAAGATGTCAACTAGCTCTTGCATCCATTTTCACATATTGTATTTCATATAATTTTAGTTTTATTTCAATTAGTATTTTTAGTACTTTCATTTAATATATTTTTGTTTTATTTATTTACCAAAAAAAGTATTTAATAGTTTCTTTTTTAGTTAACAACACTGTTATTGCCATTAAAGCTCTGGTGTAAAAGCACCCAGAACAGTATGTTTTGAATATTTTTATCTGAAAGCTTCATTTTCATAGTCATTCGAGAATCAGAGGGAGTCGTTCATGCAGCCTGTGATTATTTTGAAGACCAGCTTTGGCATGTCTTTACTTCCATTTCGATAAATTCTATTTCAAGCATCTCGCACTGTGTGCCAGGCCAAGTGAAAGCCGTATGAAATTTGAGCTCCAAAAACCTCTTGTACATGCCCAAGGGGAGTCATTCTGCACCCACCAAAACCAACAGTTAGCTTTGACAAAACCCTCCCACACCTGGTCCTGTTTTGCCGGACATTGGCATAGCTTTCCTGTGAGTCAAGTAGTTCCACAAAAGAAAGGAAATTAAATTACATTCTACACCGTTGTTTCATGCCGCCGTGGTACAGCAGGTCCTTGAAGTTACAACCTTCCCAAAAGGCCACATGGTTATGTCAGGAAGAAAGAGCGCCAGATACAAGCTGGCTTTATGGGAATCACAGCTGCTTATGTTTTTCTTGCATTAATTTTTCATACTGACACATTCTGCTTGCCGCAGCCTGTTTGGAAAAACAACATGGCCGCTCGGCTCGCTCTTCCTAGCCTTGTGGGTTGAAAAAGCGTTTTCTGTAAATGTTTAACCAGATGGGTAAACTGTGGACAGGTTTCAATCAATGTCAGTGTCTTTGGGTTGCCTTCCCAGCATGGAAGCATGGCCTCAGTTCGTCCACAAATTGACCAGAGCTTACTGGTTACAAGAGCTTCATGTGGCGTGTCGTTGAGTGCATGTTTGTATATATCAGTAGATTGTGTATTGTAAACCAATATGACCGGTTATAATCCCGCTGTCAGACCTCTGCATTTTGATAAATCCTGGCGAGAGCCTGCAGTTTCAGCTCATTAGAGAAGTATGCATAGATTAAACCAAATCGGCAGTGATGGAGAAGATGTAAAATGCTTAATTATGGGTGGTAGCATGCAACCAGAGCAGAACTGCCCTTGAGTGTTTTTGTTTTTCAGTTTTCCTGTAACAGTTACTATGATAAAAGTGCTGTAATTTAAAACTATTTAAAAAAATATATTTATTTATTAATTTTGGCTTGTCACATCATAAATGCTGTTAATTAAAAAAAAATAATAATCTGGTTACCCTGTTGTACTCCATCTCTCTGTTTTTCAATTCATCCTAACAGAATCTTACATGTGCAACATATACAGAAAGTTCTATAATTTAAAACTAATTTGATTTATTTTGCATGCTTCACCATATACACAGTTTTTTAAAAGTTAAAAATAATTATTAAAAAATGTTTCAGGAGACCCTGTTTTATTCCATATACTTGCTGGTTTTAAATGCTTCATATGTGAACAGCACCTTACATGTACATCATATAGAGATACTTGTTGGTTTGTGATATGTTGGTTGTGCTCTACTAGATGAGATTTTTCCAATGATGTATGTAAAGATTATTCAAACTCTGTGATGTTTTTGCTATTTCCTATCTTTCCTATTTTGATTATGTTCATATTTCATAGAAAATGGAACTAATTTGTCAGAAAATGTAAATGGTCTATAAGAGTTGGACAGATTGCCTATATGCAATACAGAGTTCAAATTCTAGGTTTCGAGTCAAGTAGGTGTTTTTTAAATAAATTAGTTCCAGTTTAAAGGGTTGAAAATGTTGGTAATCAATATCAGTCCAGAAATTTAAATATCATCTATAATTAATATATATAATGTTTTTTTCTTTTCCCACTGAGCTTGTTGCAATGCTTTATGGTATTGCGTTTTTATGTATGATAGATGCAAATCTGTCTTTATGCAGATTTTCTCGTTGGAACAGGTTTTGTGCCAGAAGTATGTCTGTGATGCCTTAAAATGCTCCCTATATAGACATCTCACTAGGTTTTGGAACAGAGTCAGTGTAACTTCACAAGTGGCACTTGACTTTTCAACAGCATGTCATGCTTCCTTGGGAGAAGCGAGAGAGAAACCGGCCCAGGCCTTGAAAGAGTTCCTGTCCACTCCCCAACCGCACAGCCCACACACTAAGCCTTTGGAAAGAGAGAGGAACTGTGAGTGGGAAGTGTTGCTGGTGTATGCCCAGGGATGAGAGTGTGGAACAGGGATGCTTCCGAGGAAACGTAATGGCAGGTGTCTGCTGAAGCACGCCCGCCAATAATTTCTTCAGTGAGGCAAACTCTGGCAAAGTCGCCTGCTATTTCAGACACTATTCTTAGGTCTGTTCCTTACAATTGGGCTTGAAACTTTAGACCACAGTATTCGGTGCTGGACAATGCTCAGAGCGATCACCCCCCTTCAGATCTCTAGGCTCCCATACTCACCGTACGTTGACTTCATTTCGAGCAGCTCTGGGCTCGTGGCCTGAGGGCTCTGCTTTTTAATGTCGATGGGCCTGAAAAAGGAGCAGACTTCAATGCAGGCAAGAGTTTCAAAGGGCCGGCAAGAGTCTAAGTGACCTGCTCTGTGCAAGTGACATTACCATAAGGGACATTACCATAATTTGCCCTATACAAAGTCCAAAAGTACATATTTGCTGTTACAGTGCATTCGGGATCAAATACAGATGTTTGTTTAGCAGTATCTGTGCTTGGATGCTCCCCCGAATATGAGGGGGATATTATTATTAATAATTAAATATTAGTAATTATAAATATATTTTTTTACTTAAAGGGATTGTTCACCCAAAAATAAAATTAATTTAAAATAATTTAGTCACTTTCATGCCGTTTCAAACCTGTATGACTTTCTTTCTTCTGTGTAACACAAAATAAGATATATATATATATATATATATATATATATATATATATATATATATATATGGCGAGCGAGAGGGAGAGTGTAAGAGTGTAATTTGGCACAAAACTAAATATGAAGTTTTTTTGGAATGCAGTCAATTTCTGTTCCTGTCATTCCAATTCAGGTCCAAATCAACATCCTGTGGGTTTGGCTTCAGCTCTCTTCAGGAATTTTGTGCAATAAAGCTTTTCTGAATAAATGAAGGAAAGAAACGAAGGATATAAACAACAAAGCTACCTGTTTAGAAATCCCAGAGGTGTGACCAAACATAATGCCCTTGCTTTTCTCTTTGTTTATTTTTTTTTTTTTTCATACAATGAAAGTAATTTATTTGGAGCTAAACTATTCCTATAAATAAGTATAAAAGTCTCGTTTTGTTATTAGTAGTTCACTTGTGAGTTGCCAGGCATGTTTTGACTTAAAAGGCTCATATCTCTTCACAGGCCTCCACGACTATCTGAATCGAGAGCTGTCATTAATGCAGCCTTTAACTTTCTCTCTGCCTTGCTTTGATGCACTGCCAGAACACTGATCCCGGGTTTGTTTTCATTGACAAAAAAAAAGATAGCTTGCAGTCTTTGACATGAAAGCGATAATCCAAATTTCTAAAAAATAATATGTCAAATTATTATGCAACATCTAACCTAACAGGGTTGTGCAGCATTCAGAATTTAATTGAGAATAGCTTTTAAAAAGCGATTCGATTTCTGGATTTGAATTTGAATTTGATTGAATTTAGGTGGCAGAATTCAAAATTCTAATTTATGTAACCGATGTAAGAGTATTTTTAAATAATAGATTTCACTTTTCAGTATGAATTACATATGTACTTTATTTTATTTAAACAATTAATTGTGTGGGCCATGGTGGAAGAATACTTAGTAACTTACAGTACACATATGCTTTTTTAAACTAATACTTATTTTTAAGTATTACATATAAACTTTTAATTATACTTTTTTTTAAATCCTGTAACCTACTCTTCCCTTCATTAGGAGAAGTAAATGGCACACGGTCCCCTCCAGTAAAGAAGCCTGGCAAAGAAAACAACTACCAGTACATTAAGGAAACAGCAGTGAAGCAGCATCTCAACAACAAGAGGACCAGGATGTACATCTCCCTGGATGATCCCAAAACACCTCACCCCAGACAGGTGAGTGTCCCTCTGTGAAGAAGTCACTGCCCTCTTGAGTACTGGTGATCGCTGAAGCGAGTCGTACGAAAGGACAACACAGAGAATGTTAGACCAACAGAAATAAAAAAACCTGCATTCACCTTGAATGTCATTGTGTTCAGTACGGCAGTGCCCTCTTCTGGTTATCAGACTAACACACCACATACACAATGCTACAGGCTCACACAACACACTTGCGTGCTCGCTATGACACAGATACTCTCCTTTCTGTATCAGCTAAACATTCATTTTCCTAACAAAGTCTTCTGGGGTTCAGATTTACGTATGTCCTATGTACAACCCTCTGTATTTGATGTTGCTATAATTCTGTGGTCTGAGGTTGTTTGTCAGTGTATAATTTATTGCTTCAGTATGTTATTTTCATGATTGGAGCTGTGCAAAAACTGCTGTAAGCTGATTTTCGGGTGTTTTTCGTATTCAGCCTTTTTCTGGTGCCATTTTCACTATGTTTTCAGTTAAAAACATGTGATCGTTTCCTTAGTTACCTAATTAACCAGCGATTTCTGATGTATAAAACACTGCCCGGTGATAGCATACAGTCGCATTCGGATTGCCAAGGCAGAACAAACGACTGCCGTCTCTGCTGAAACAAGGAATGAGCCAGTGCTTGTCGAATTTGGCCATCACGCAAGTCCACAGAGAGTTAATTAACTTTTCTTGGACTTGTACCATGCTTTACCTGGACTCTTAAAACCTCAGCCAAGTGATCACTGCAACACCCCAATCAGCATCTCTATCAGGCATCATCTAATGTTTTGAGCCAATAGACAAATTCTCTTGCTAATTTACTTCATTTGGCAAATTATTATTATTATTATTATTATTTTAATTACAGGTTTCTTAGTAGCTATTATAAGATCAAGCCTGTCTGCTTTACTTTGTCATAAGCATATCTTCACCATTTAAAGGGTGCCTTAAAGGGATAGTTCACCCAAAAATTAAAATTTGATGTTTATTGTCTTACCCCCAGGGCATCCAAGATGTAGGTGACTTTGTTTCTTTAGTAGAACACAAACTAAGATTTTTCACTCAAACCGTTGCAGTCTGCCAGTCATATAATGGAAGTGAATGGGAATCACGGCTTTGAGAGTCAAAAAAACATACACAAACAAAACCCTGCGGCTCGTGACGATACGTTGATGTGTAAAGACACGAAACGATTGGTCTGTGCAAGAAACTGAACAGTATTTATATCGGTTTTTTTACCTCTGATTCACCGCAATGTCCAAACTGTCCTGAGCTCTCGACAGTCAGCGCTTGACATGTCTTCTTCTACTTCTTGCTTTACGGAAGATCGCAGACTTATAAGTGAATTACCACCACCTATCTCTCAAATGGACCATTGACACTCCTAATTGAGATCGTAGATAGAGTGTCAATGGCCCATTTGAGTGTCAATGGTCTGCGAACTGAAGAAGTGCAAGAAACTGAACAGTATTTATATCGTTTTTTTTTACCTCTGATTCACCGCAATGTCCAAACTGTCCTGAGCTCTCGACAGCCAGCGCTTGACATGTCTTCTTCTACTTCTTGCTTTACGGAAGATCGCAGACTTATAAGTGAATTACCGCCACCTATCTCTCAAATGGACCATTGACACTCCTAATTGAGATCGTAGATAGAGTGTCAATGGCCCATTTGAGTGTCAATGGTCTGCGAACTGAAGAAACAAAGTCACCTACATCTTGGATGCCCTGGGGGTAAGCAGATAAACATCAATTTTTCATTTTTGGGTGAACTATCCCTTTAAGTGCATTGGTCTGGAAAACAGTCCTACATCCGCTCATATTTTCCTCCTCATCGAGCGTATTCTATACCGCTATTGGGCAAGAAATAGTTCTAGAAAAAGACAATCGATGTGACCATAAACATACAGCAGTGAAGACAACAATAGTTGTATTATTAAGCACACTGGGTCTGGTTTGGCCGACCTGAAACCAATAGTAACTACGGCTAAATTATATGTTGATAAAGCAAATGGATGTTGGAAAGTACTATAAAAAGTTAGATGCAATAAAATGAAGAAGCCAAGGCAATAAAAATTCAAACCAGTGATAATGGTAGGGTAATAAAAAGCCAAACCGAATAAGCAAGTTTTCTGTGGGGGTCATAAATCAGTAGCGTAACCATCACGTATCCCATGAAAAGCAGACATTCAAGGAGAATGTCAGGGTGACAGCATGTCCGATGACAGCAGGGGACTGTTCACTGCTTTGTGATGGAGCACTTTTCATCCGCACGATACGGATAAGATCCCTGGCAGGCCCTCTTCCCCCAGTGTCCTCTTATCCTGGGCCAAGCAGTGAGCAGCCATCATGAGAGATATAGGGAAAAAGAGAAGGAACGGGAGACAGGAATGGTCTTTGATGCTGATGCCTGTCCTTGCGGAAAGGTGGGGAGGCAGAACTAAGCCAGCAAATTAGCTTGAGTAAGAGATTAATATCAGCCACACAAATGTTTCATGAGGCCGCCGACCTGCTGTTTATCTCACTCTCCTTATATGTGTTTCTTTGAGGATTTTTATTAAAACTAACTTTTTGTTATATGAAAGTCACATTAACTCTATCTTTTACCACACTTTACCAGGCCTTCATCACTTGTTTTTGCTACTTTTCAAATGCATGCTGTTCAGATTTTATTAAATCACAAAAGCTATTAATTGCATTTCACAACCCACAAATTGTCCACTGATAACCTTTTCTCAGATGTTACTCTACTTGTTTAGCAATGTAAATCTCACTTGTCAACAGCATACTTTTACATTTACATTAACTTTTTATTTTTTACAACTTGCAAAGGAGATTTCTGACATCTAAAACAAAGCCTGATAATAGCATAACCTCACAATCGAATTTTGTGTCATTTCAGGCTGTTATCTTATGCATTTGATGTAAAAAAAAATTGTGAAGATGTTACTTAATTGAGTGTATTTAGACAAAGGAGATTGACAAAATAAACTAGTGAGAATGTAAAAATGTGTTTTAATATGTTTGAGTTGAAGAAATACTCAGATACGTGTTTGTGTGTGTATTTGATCTTACAGAGCCAGTGTCAACAGGAGCTGGATAGAGTGTTGGAGAACATCTCCCGAATGACGTTCCATGACAACAAGGGGCCTTTGGAAAATCTTTATGACCTGAAGTTCCCCAACTGTGACAAGACAGGACAGTACAACCTTAAGCAGGTGAAAAGACCAATATTTGACTCAACCTTTCAAAGACATCATCATGGTCGGACATTAGCAGCTGAAATAGCTTTTCTTTGGGAGTCTTCTTGTCCATTGTCAATTTGAGAAATTTTGAAGGTCACCTGCCACATTGGCCGGTAGATTAGCACAAAAAGTACTCGCATTTGGATGCCAGCGGGTGTTAATTTCACTATAGGGAAATAGGAATATGAGATATTGCACAACCTTTGCACAGCAATCTGCAGCATCCTGCTGTTTTATTATCCAATTCCATGTGGAAGGTTCAATAATGACTCAAAGATGGAGCCAAAGAGAAACTGTGTGTAAAACATTCCCACATTCTCTACAGAAGGCTGTTTTATCAAAGCCAAGGCAACCGTATCTGAGCTGAGAGTTACAAGTTAATGCAAATTTTGCTGACTGACTAGCCTGTCTGTCGGGTGGCTTGACTTGGTTTTTAGAGACATTATCAGAGGAATGGAGAATCACATCTGGATCTTTTTTTTTTTTATTTCTGTTTCCTGGCATGACATGTTGGAGCTTAAACACAAAAGGGTATGTTGTTTTGACATGAACACCCTGTTCCCAGAGCACAAAACAGTGTACCTCACCACACTTAATTGTGTTGCAATCATCCTGTTCCTTTTGTAATTATTGTAACTGTCAGTTTTTGTTCTTTGCCATTGGAGGACAAAATTGAGAATCTGTTTTTTGCCTATTTTGGGTCTCCGCGTCAGCTGTGTCCAGTTCAATTATGACCTCATTTTGGGAGTGCTCAGTAGGGGTCAATGAGACATGCTGAGTCAAATGAGGCGGGAGGGCTCTTTTGGGGCAGTGCCTCCACCCCGTACTCGCTCAGGAGTTTCATTAAGCCCCCAACATCCACCGTTTCCCTGCCCGTCTCTCATCATCTTCTCTCTCTTGTGTTCCAGTGCAACATGTCCAGCCATGGACAGAGGGGCGAGTGTTGGTGCGTCAACCCCTACACTGGTGTCCAGATACCCTCGTCCCCCAAAGTGAGGGGGGACCCTAACTGCAGCCAGTACTACGGTGGCCCTGAGCTGGAACCGCCAACCACCCAGCAGAAATAGACGCACCCTTGCCCATAAGGGAGATGCCCCGGGTCGCAAATGAGGAGAGTTAAAGCGAGTGCAAGAGCGATGTGCATGTGTGTAATTCTGTACGTGTATGTGTGTATATTTTCGCAATAGTATGATCTGTATTGTAGATAGGAGTGTGGAAAGTAACATGCCAGCACAGGCAAGCAAGTCGAGGACAGGTAGTTAAACCTCCCCTTCTTAAATCCAGATAACTGTTCTCCAAATTTAACTCTGAGTGATTGTTGTTTTCTGCCTATTTATAGGCTCGTATGGTGCCTTTTAATCTTGTGACTGAATCTGGTTGCAGGGAGTCTCTTATACAGCATTTGCAGCTGTTCGCTGTGAAGATGTGTCCCTTTAAAATCTCCCTTTTGTCTATGGATACCCAATAAAAGCAGTGGTGCTTATTGTTTTTTGCAACATTGGTTGCCAGAAACAAACAACAACTGCAAATGCACAACAGCAGAAGCTTTGACATTGATTTAAAAGTGAATCCCAAATTTTGAAACCAAAAATTGTGATAGAGAAAGCAGAGAGGTCATTTTTGGCTGATTTGAGAGGATCTGTGCAAGAGGGGTTGGAGATGTGCTTTTTGGCTATTTTGACTACTTAAGTACCGGACAGATAAATCAACCATGAGTACACAAGTGTTTGTAGATGTGCATCAAACTGGCATCTTTTCCGCATAAGTGTTGCATTATTAAGACCATGCATTCAAAACATTTTCAAAATGTGTCTCTTAACCAGTGCTTTTCTTTCCAATCATTTGCTTCAAGCTGAAAGTCGCCATGTACGTGAGTTGCTATATGGTGTCACCACAAATTGCTGCCCCATCTAACCAATTGGAGTGCAAGGTACGAAAGGCCCAAAATGTCAAACAATCACTAAATTAAAAATTTTTTGACACACATTACTGATCTTCATTCAGCATTATATGCTTTGAAGTTCAAGTGTGTTTTTACAATCGATTATTGCTGTAGCTTCCAAATATTCAAGATCTGGTCGTCCCTGTTCTTGGTGACTGATAGACCTCTGTTCTCATGCTGCTTCTCTGCCATGTGGTAGAATGCAGGTGTTGTATGTGTGTGTTTGTAGAGTGGGGATCAACATTTACTAATGATGGGCTGACAGAGGGCTAGATTAGGACACAGGGCTGACATTGACAATGTGATATATAGTACGTTACGTGCCTATAAATAAACACAGGTTTGCCTGCAGTGCCTGTGGGCTGTGCCTCACCTGGCTTCACTCTCATCTGCAGAGGGATGTGTTGGAGGTTGGCAAGGGTGATTTTGCCCAGCATAACACTTGAATGGGGTTAGTTAGAGAGTCCTGTGAAGGAATGTGAAGTGGTGCATGGGTTTAGTGAGCTTGTTTAACCAATTCTTGTACCATTTTCCCCCCAGCTGAATGAAAACATGCATTTTAGTCCATGAACAGCCCAATGCAGCAGACTTTAAACAAACAAACAAATAAATAAACAAACAAAAAAGTTTTAAGTTACTACTGGGTTCAAATTGGTTCAGTTGGTCATAAAGATCCAATAGAAAATTACGAACAATAAAGTAACATACAGTGGAATCAAAAATCTAAACCTGGGATTCAAAATCCAATTGAAATCTAGAAATAAAATAGTTTTAGGATCCTGAACTTTTTTAAACAGGAAAAAAAATCTGATATCTAGATCGCTAATCAATAAGTAAAGTTGTCAAGTTTGGGATCGGTAAGATTATTAAAAAAATTTTGGAACTCTTTTTTTTTCTTCTCAAGATTCTTTGATAAATAGAAAGTTTAGAAGAACAGAATTTTGCTGAAATAGAAATATTTTGTAATATTATAAATGACTTTACTGTCACTTTTGATAAATTTACTGCATCCCTGCAAAATAAAAGTATAATTTTCTTTAAAAAAAATCTTACTGATCCCAAAATTATGCAAACAGATGCAAAAAAGAAGCATTCTAGAGTCTAAATAGATGTGACTAGTGGGATTTAATGGATTAACTTGCTTTGTCAGCAGGTGTGATCTGTAATGCCCCGTTCACATAGACACACAGCGGTTTTATCGCTGAAGGCCACCAGATCAATGCACTGTTGGATTGTACTGGGCGTTCCTACTACGCTATGTTCTGACGTCATTGATGGCCTGTGTAGATGACCACAGCTTCTGAAAATCTGATCAGAAATTAGACAAGTATCCAGGTGCTGCTCATAAATTTCAACTTTTAAAAATCTGATTCCCTTATTTTCAGTGTAGCCTTTTGGATGCCACTGTATGAGACGTTATTGTCACATCGCTGGAAATTGACACCCCACAGTGTAGGGGTACAGTGTAGGTATATTTTCATTCACTACCCATATATCTTACTCTTTTTACCTCTTCCCCATCTGTCTCTCTCTTTCCCATCATCTCCCTCTCTGTGAGTGTTGAATTTAACAGCTCGATCCAGAAATAGAAGTCGATTAAGCTTTAACATTGATCCTAATGTGTTAGACAGTGTTCAGTCCAGTGTTTGCTTTTGTAGCTTAGCCTTTATGATATATTACCACATTAACCTTCAGTATCTTTCACAGTATTACCACATCTTGCTTGCCCTTAGTAGTAGCTTATATGTATTTACTTTATCTAGTTAGCGTTGTGCTAACTACCACAACAGACTGGCTCTCCAAAATCACGCAGCCTCGTGTGATTTTGGTGCCTCACGGATAGATTTGCTGAGACACGGGCTACAAGTTTTCCGTTTCGGTTTATATCCAAAATAGATCGCTGCCTGCCCTCCGGTGGCACAGTAAATTTTACGGTAGCTCGAGTTTGGCCTAGTTTGAAAACAGTGCGAAACCAATCCCTGTGGTTTTCGGGCATATTGATTTGCCAGAGCGGTTCCGATGGGATGGAAGTGTGCACGTATGCGTGTGTGTGTGTTTGTGTGTACTTGTGTGAACGTTTCGATGCTGTGCCATGCCTTTTTTTTTGTCTCCGTATTCGTCACTAATCACGCAACATCGACGTCTTACGTCATCCGCCGGAACGGCTTGGCTGTATGACAGTCAGCGGAAGTGAGAAAAAAATGTTTATTACGTTTGAAATATGGATATTTATCTTACAGAAATGCATAGATTCGCTACAGGAGGCCTTTATTCACCCCCCCCCCCGGAGCCCTGTGAGGGATGTTTTATTACGGATGCACGCACTTCATTTCATGTCTTCTGAACTGTTGACAACCAACACCTGCTTACCCTCATTGAAAGGCTTGGAGGGGCCAGGGCAATTTTTAATATAACTCCGATTGGATTCGTCTAAAAGAAGAAAGTCACATACACCTAGGATGCTTTGAGGGTGAGTAAAACACAGGCTAATTTTCATTTTTGGGTGAACTAACCCTTTAAGTCATTACGTTTAATTTGCATATTACTGAAATTTTTTTGTATGATTATATACATTTTTCATTTTTGCTATAAAATACTTCTTCAGTTAGAAGTTGTTATTTAAAATGAGTTTTAAAAAGCTTTATTCGATAATCACAAGCAAATGGAAAAGTCATAGAAATTCATTGGGCAAAAGGTGTGGGAAGCTTGTCTTTTGAGCTCCAAGACCATTTACCCACATTTGGTGTCTTCAGGACAGAAAAGCTGCAAGGAACTAATCCACAAATAGAGGTTGACTGGGGAAAGCATAAAAATCATCGACCCCCTACCTTTATTTTTATTTATTTAATTAATTATAATTATTTATTACATTTTTTTATTATGTCTATACATTTTGGGCCCTCTTATTATGTGCATTAGCAGTGCACATGATTCTGATTTTATTCAGTCTACAGAAGAGATTGTAAGTAAGAGATCCACCTTAAGCTTCCCCTGGTGTATAGTATTCTGTCTGCGCTTATCTCATCTGTGTTTGCATTCCTTCCTTAAACAGAAAGTAGAATGTGAACAAATCTCAAGAATATTACAGGAGAGAACGGTGGCGGGCTACCTCACACAGGGACTGGCCAAGGATGAAACGCTAAACTAATCATTGTGTTCTCAGGCAAAAGAGTGGTGTGGAGAGCCACATGTTGTGATAAGATGGAGCCATCTATAGTTGTTCAGCTAATTGCGTGATAAAAGAGACGTGAGTGCTTTGAAGTCTAAAATGCATTTGTCAGTTTCTTTGAAGGCTATAGTAATTGTCATGTTCACTGCCCTACAAATCAAATCGCCGACACGTGTTGCTCTCCGGGTCTGCTTCGTTTCCCCTTACTTGATCTGGCTGTTACAAATGAATGCTGCTTGGCTGCGGACAAAGCCCTGATCCGTCACATCTGGAGTCCGTAAACCTGAGTTATCCCAGGAAGAATTTCACCTGTATGTCTGCATTAGTGATTACCTTGAGGCCACTAAAGTCTCGTCAGACCCCAACCACTATCCAAGACGTGACTTCACAGCACATTTTAAAATAAAATGCATATATTTAAGCCACAAAGCAGAAGCAGCACTACTAATTGAGGTTTGGCTCTGCATGAACTCACAAGAAGACATGTTAGAAATGCACTGAACCTATTTATCAACACTCTTTTGCAATATATGCTCTTATCAGTGGCACTTGCTTTTTTGGCTTGATGCTCGACTCCAAGCAGTCATGAAATGTTGTGCTAACTTGCCCTTGAGCTTTGTGATAAAACAAGGCTCCACATAATCAAAACGTACAGTCAGTTTCCTCTCAAATTTGAATGAAGATGTTGGTCCTTTCTGCCGGTCAGAGATCCCCCCTTGATGTTGGGGTTCGTGGTAAATGACTTCCTTGTTCCTGAGCAATCTCTTTGACTTCTGTGGAAAGCCAGGTGCCTTGCCTCTGGGCAGAGTTTAAATGCAGTAAGTTTTCACCCAAAATAAACCTGTATCCTGTAATGCTCAGTTCCTCTGGGCTCCTCAGTTAATCACCCAAATCCTGATTCATCAATGAAGACAATTGAATTAGCAGACAAACAATGTGTGCATGTCATAGATTCCCAGTGAACTGAAGTGTGTGGTGTGACTAGTAAAGGAGTGTGTGTGTGTGTGTGTGTGTGTGTGTATCATTTTAATGATTACATGATTGCATACATACACATCTACATATATATGTTCTTAATGATTACAGTAAAGCACTTAACCTGGAAGTAAACTGGGCCAGCAAGGGTTTAAAAGCAAAAAAAAAATAATAATATTGTGTTTGTTAAAGCATGTGCATGCATTTTGAAGTAAAAGCATGTTTATTGTTTGGTCTGTAAAAATTTCAGACTACATTTGTAGGTGAATGATGACCTGGTTATGCATTAAATCATGTGTACAGCATGTTTGTGAACCCCTTGAACAGTGTTCAGAAAGCATCCCAGGATGCATCTCATGAAGTTTTGATGTGATTTGTTTAACATTTGGGCTACTACATAATCCCCATACTTCGATTTATGCTATTTTATTGTGTTAATGACTTCAATATTATCATAAATTGTGGAAAGTATATCATGCACAAGTTAGCACATACTATTTTTGTTACATTGGTAATAGAAGATTGATAATGACTTTACAGATAAGATCAAGTGATTCTGTCACACTAGTCTCATGCTAAGTCATTTTAATTAATGTGGCTTTCAAGCATGTATGTCCATTGTAAGTGCTTTACTGTTGCTTTTTATTTAAAAAAAATCAGATCTAAGTTGTTGCTGTCGATAGCACCCGGAACATTCCTTTAACATATGCCAACCTGATGGATTTATAAGCAGTGTATATATTTGGTGTTATTTTCATATCAATATAGTGTTTCTATTGGGCCATTGAAATGTCACAGTATCTGTTGTCTTTATATTTGCATGCAGTGTGTGATAATGGTGTGACATCTGGGAAACTGTCCTGTTGTTACTGCTGTGGCTAGTAAATCTTTATTTAAATTGTTCTCATAAACAAGATCAAATTCATGTCATGTACAAATAAATTTATTGCACAAGCTTAAATGAATACATAACTTTATTTAAATAAATGCTTTATCATAACAAAAAAAGACAAATGTTAAAAGAGTACATAAATTACAAGTTGAATAAATATTACACAGTGATATTCACTTTCTTAATAATTTGAGATTTTTTTTTTCATTTTATTGTTTTTTAATAGAGTTCCAAAATGCTGAACATTTTTAGAGTCCTCCAGCCACTAATGGGTCTTTTTCACATGCCAGTTTAAGCCACATTTAGGTGGTCAATCATCAAGTCTTTTCTCATCCACAAAAAAAAGAAAGAAAAGACTGTTATGCATTCAGAGAAATAAAGAAAATCTGTCGTTTCTACTGAAGTGCGAGTTATGAACTCTGCTGTCTACCCAAGTATGAGATTCGGAATCTGATGAAAGCAGATAAGCACAAAAGCAACATGCTGCGTCCTGGCAATCGATTGTCTGTTACCTCTAATTACAAATCAGAATGGATCAAAATCACATTAATGACATTTCTTTCCCATTCTCACAGTGACACCCAGATGGATTATATGACCTGGGGAAACAAGGTAAAATGGTTTTCAGCCATAGTGCATCGTCTTTTAACATTCAGGGTTTTCGGATAAACAATTTTTTGACTCGTTGCATGACTGCTCATCAGATTCCGAGACTGTCCGTCTACAAATTCTACTGTGAAGTGTGAAGCACTGCAAAAATGAGTATTTATGTCTGGTTTTTCAGTTCAAATATCTAGACGTTCTTAAAAAAAACAATTGACTTGAGAATCAAAAGACAAGACTCGTTTTCAGAGAATTTGTCTTGAATTATAGGAAGATTCTAGCTGTTTTTAATCAATGACGTTCTTTCTTCCATGGAACACAAATTTAGAGTAGGATATCAAAGCTGCACTTTTCCTCAAAATGAAAGTGAATGGTTATCACGGTTGTCAAGCAAGATTTTCAAGGCAAGGTTTTGAATTAATAACAAACTGAATTACATTCCTCACACAAAGTGCTCCTACAGCTTTGAATGTGTTTCATAATTTCTTATTGTGCATCTTTTGGTGCTTGACAGACCCTATAGAAGTGAGCAGCTTGGATATTTTACTAACCTTCTCCTTTGGCGCTTCACAGAAGTAAGTAAAACGTTGTTTGAAACATAAAGTAAAAAAAAGTAAAGTAAGTCAAAGTTGTTTGAAACATAAAGATGAGTACATGAATTTTAGTTCAAACTATACTTTGAAATAGTTTTTTCTTACCCTATGGGCAAACGTGTCCATAAATGTTCTGAAAACAACTCATTATCTTGCATACTTTTGCTTTTTAAGTAAATTCAATTAGCTTTAAAGGAGTTCAGATGACTTTACTGGAAAACAAGACACAAATACTGATAAAGAAGTGTGTGTTGTGAAAGGAGGCCCAGCTCAAGATCACCGCTTGAGGCTCTCACCCGCTCTCCTTCTTCCCGGATATCACTGAGATGCAAAGTCTATCAAGAGTAGATGGAGAATAGACTGTGATTGGTAGATTTGTGTTACTGGTAAACCCACTGAATGATGATGCGGGTCTCAGGCTTGGGCTGCAAAGCCCCTGTCAAAGGTACTCAGGCAGGGTATCTGTCCGAGGCCTGCTCCTGCTCCTATACCTGAACTGAGATTCACTTTGAAACGGCACTAATCGCGTGGCAAGGTAAGGAATTAAGTGCAAGCTGCTTTTTTAAATGGGGGAGGGGGCTTTCGGCATGGATCAGGACCTGGATAATGCTGATTACTGATTTTGCCCGGTGGTGACCGACACCTACAAGGCTAATTGTGCAATAACAGAGGCGACTAGGCCGCCATGACGTACTCAAGACATCTGCAAAAGTCTGGTTAACCCGCACGCCTTGAACTCACTCTTTCTCTTTCATGCCACCTTCCATTCGAGAGCCAATTGTCATTCGCAAATCTTTTTTGACATGCAGCGGTTAGATTTTGCGGACCCGTGGTTATTTCGAATCACAGCCAGGCCCACACGGAATCTTCATGCATGGAATTCCACAAAATTGGAACGCCCGGCATTCACAAATTCCTACGCTGGCAAATTTGACTGTGCTTTCAGCTACCAATTAGAACATAGTTCTCAAAGCTCCATGTCTAAAATAAGGAAAATGCGTGATTTCTGTCCGGGCCTGGTTATGATGGGTATTAACATGTTAGAGATCTGGAGAGATGCAGCTCTACAGGGTATGGTGTTAGCGACTATTTTTACAGCCCCCTCCCAACAGTGAAACTCTGATCATTCGGGCCCTGAAATAAGATCTGGACGGACCCATTGTGGCATGGAAATGGCTTCACTCACTCTTCAAGTGCCGACCGGTGAGTATCCCTGTGTGATGTATAGCTTGATTGGAAATACTCTCGTCAGCAATTACACACATTTGCAGTCTCTGTCAAATCGATCGTCAGCTTATTCGTAAGAGAAATAACAGTAAATGAGCTAGCGCTAGCTGGACTACGGTCTCACCCTATCTCAGCCTCGGCGCAGGGAGAGACTTCTGATAGCTGCTTGACATACAATGTAGTATAACGGATTTCATATCTAATCTGATGCTGTATTTGAACGCAACTGAGGTCCTTCGTCAATATAAAAACGTCTTATCGTTCCCCTTGGCTACTGTGTAACGTTTACGTCACCAATCAAATGTATTTGCATGTAGGAAGGCACTGAGAAACTCACACTGAACGACGCTGTAGTGAAACGCGCCTTCTGTTTCCACCGTGGATAATAACATCGATGAAATACAGGAATACAAATGAAACGTGTCATCGTGCTGACCAAAAGAGCTATTACCTATTGGTGAACAGTCAAAGTGGGCGGGGCTTAAAAAGTGGTCTGACCTGCATTCAAATGAGCAAGTTGTCATTGTGACAGGTCAGATGGAAATATGCAAATTGATAATGCTAACACTCCACTGCTGAGCATCTGATCACTGTGGTTGTTTGTTAAGGATAACGTAACAAAAAAAGAAAAGTAAAAAAAAAAACATTCAATAATCTAGAGTTAAAGGTAACATACCGAGGTTGCACCTATTTCAGTGAAACCACATGGTCGAGGAACATGGCTCATAAGTGGACTGTCATTACCTCCATGAAGTCAAAGGAAACGGCACATAACAAAAGTTATTCAGAAAAGAAAAACAAAACATTACAGGCAGAAAGAAACTACCGTTCTGCACGGTGAACGTCTGTCAAAGTTCAAACGCAAATGCTAGGAACGTTTAAGGGTTACAGCATCTGTCTTGATTTTAGCTCGGCCCAGATGCCACAATATATGATACAAAAATATTCCAGAGTGGCCTTTTCTTTTCTAGGCGTGGGCACTGATTGATTCTGTGTGGACTTTTTTTTCTCATTCGGGACCCCGTGTAACTGCGTGGCAGCGTCTGTTTACATAGGCACGGTTGGCATGTTAGGCTACAAAGTCTGGAGCCACTGAAACAGATTTGTCTAATGGGATCCTGGTTTTCTTTCACAACGTTCTGGGAGGGATATGCCACAAAGACAAAAAAAAAACTATTTTTTTGAAGCTATCGCCATATTTCATTGCTCACACGCATACACTGAACTTGGTGAAGTTACACATTTCCAAGCAGGTTCCCCAATGAATAAGTGCTCTGACAGGACCAAAAAAAAAAAAAGCCAGATAGAGATGACTGTATGACATGTGTTTTCCATTCTTTCTTCTCTTTTGGAAAACAACACTTTTTTTTTTTCAAATAGTAAAAGTTTCTGCTATCTCCTTTGATACCTTGACAGCAAAAGATGTAAAAGACCAAGATAGCCCTGTTAATATTCAACATGCCATATATTCTTTTTTTTTGTATTTTGTTTTATGTTAACTTTAAACAAAACAGTATGGTGCTCAAACCCCAGCTTCTATAAAAATATATAATTGTATGTATATATTTTTAACAATTTTTTATTGTTGTTGCCGGGACTCAGCTCTAGCAGGGAGTCCAGTGAGATAGAGATGAGCGCTCAGTCAAAACAATTCCTGTGGATTATCTCACTTTAACATTTTTTTTTAGTCTGATTCGTATTTGTAATAGCTGTTGTGTTTTTTTTTGTCATTTTGCATTAAAATCTCAAAGTGACTGGCGGGTAGACTGGTTGGACAGGACAAGGAGGTGGGCCCTAGATCTGGTGATCAGGGTGGGTTGATTCTCACTCGTTGTTGTTGCTGTTCTCCAAATCCTTGCACTGGATGTTACCGCCGCTATAGACAGTGCCGGGCAGCTGCACGCCGTATTTGTCCACGCACCAGCAGATGCCTCGTTTCCGGCCACGGGAGGGCTTGCACTGCAGGGTGGACAAGGGACAAAGGGTCATAAAACTGCAAGCACAACTCAATGGAAATACCTCTACTTGGACCAGATGGTATGCTTTCATAAAATATTCGATGTAGTTGGAAAAAGATGAGCAATTACCCTGTAGATGACTGTGTTGATTAGAATGGGAGTGATTTAGTTTTGAATGGTGTAAATACTAGAGATGTGCTAAATGACTTATCTTCAAGGTCAACTAATTAAGTAGACTGTTTTAAAGCACAGAAATAAGGCATTATTACAGCTAAAATTTTAAAAGTACAAATACATTTTTTTTACATGCATTGAACAATAGGGGTAGTAATGGTCTTAATCAAATAATTAAAGGATTTGATGGGATTTAAGGCAATAAAGAAAAAAGATCAACAATAAAATACCTAGAATTTATTGCAAAGCAATCAATTTGAACTTTTTGCAAATAATACAATAATTTTAAAACATGCAGCAGCAGAAGAAAACAAAGAAGCAGAAAACGGCTCTGTTAATGTTTCTTGCCTCGTTCCATACAGTTATGCATTAAATGAATCATGTAAAAGACCTTTTTTTTTCAAAATGAAAAAAAGGGCCATTGGACAAAAAAGTTGAATAGTTTGCATCAATGGATATTACTGTCAGACGTTTAACATTTCTGTCATAAAACAGTTGCTGAATATTAAATGTTTAGCTACAAAACGCTTCAGTTTTACTTATGTTTTACCTTGCATTCTTTTACATTACAACTGAAGAGTTGCACTTGAATTCGTGTTCGGAGATACAAAGTGGCATATACCTTTGTATTGTAAAGTATTTAGTTCTCTGGACTATTCAAAAATTGGCATTAAGACATGGTTATAAATATTTATACATAAACAGTTAGTGCCGGTCCTCGAATTTGATTGGCTGAGCAGTGTTTGTTCCAGACAGGCTGACAATCTATGTATTAGTGGTGGGATTTTTCAATGACTCTATCTGCATATTACATCAATACACCAATAGGTGGCGACAGCAATGGTCTTTTTAAGTGAGTCATTCGAATCATTGATTGAACCGATTTTTCAAAAACATTAATTCACTCAAAGTGAGTGAGTTACTGAATCATTCAGTGTTCAGAAATGCTGATTCATTCGAAGGAAAACCATTGTGTGTTGCGCAACAGTTCTGCTTGGAATGATTTCCATGGGTTAAAATAGACTGACAGTATTAAACAATAATTACAAAAAAATCATCATATTAGAAGTCAATGTTAATATTGTACAATAAAAGTAACAAGAGTCTTACCTGCTTGTGCTTGAATAAGCCTTTCTTGTCACAGTTAGGCAGGTAGAGGGAAAGAGCCATGACACGGGAGGTGTCTTTCATACTTTGAATGATTCCATCCAGCTTCCTTCTGCAGGGACCCTGTGTCAGACCAACACATGGTGAGTTGCATCATCACCTCAGCATTTAACGCCTAGCTATCATTTTACTGCAGCTGCTGCGTCACACAACTTACAATTTCAGGCTCATGCTTGTCGATGGGAAGGGGGGAGTAGTCCATCAACACCAGTGACCGATGCTTCTCCTGTTGTTTCTTCTTGTCCTTGCGCACGGCAGCATGCTTCTTGCTGTGGATTACGTCTGGTTTGGGGTAAAGCGGAATTTTAGGAATCTGGTCTTCAGTCGTGTCTGGCTTCACTGTATCATCATGCTCTATTGATTCACGATCTAAGACAAAGAGAATCAAATAATAAGCATTAACTAGATTTTTACTGCATGGAAATGTGAGTGCCTGTGCAAAACTTGTCAGCATGATGTTAAAGTGTTTGCCAGGGTGTTGATATGGTGTTTTGAGTTTTGAATCTCTATTATTCTTATATTCTTGTTTCTAGTTTTCTCAGGTTCTTTAGAGTTAAAGAATGAGATTTTTCACCCACAAAAACTAAATGCATTAGCACGCCTCAATAAGCTGCACAATTTGAGGTATCATTCATACAATATCAACCAAGAATTTGATTGGCTGTGGCAGACCAGCCTTAAAATGTAACTTCAATTTTTTTTTGTCATTCTAACAACAAAGTGGTGCATAATGGATTGTTAGATGACGACTGGTTGACCATTGTGATATGGTGTATTTTAGGTTGTTTGCAGTTGCACCGCCAGGCAAATTGAAAGCATTAGTACAATAGAGCAATAGTATTTTGCCCTAGCAAACACCAGTAATGATCTCAGTGTCCTACATCTGACTTCAACAATTCAAATAGGCTGAATTAAATTTGACTTATAAAAGCCTGAGAAATCTCTTATAAAAATCTCTCCAAAGGCTTTAAGATATTTACACATCCTAGTTGCTAATGAGTTTCCAGAGCGTAAACATGAAAGCAACTGTTTTTCCACCAAATGTTTCTTATGAATTTGTTTTCAGAGGGTGGTGGCAGGAACAACAGCTGATGACCACCCCCAACCAAACCCATCGCTAGTTGAAACACTTGGTTTTGCCTGACTAAATATCCAGTTGGGTTAGAATTCCAATATCTCATGCTATTTGGTGGAATTTCTCCAAATGCATTTAGGTGTACAACCTAAACATTGAATGCACCTCTGTTTTATGTAGAGTAATAATTCCTTTGATTTCATCGTAGAGAACGTGCATGACTATTTGGGAGTGAGAAACGACTTTTCAAAGGATCCTTAACAGCTCAGAACTGTATTTGAAAAACTTTGAAGTCACAATAACCATAACACCACGACAACCACAATGTTCTTCTGCAAGAATCTAAGGCTAGGTGGGTCGTAACTTTCGACATGTGTCCAGGGAAAATATGGCGATATTGCAGAACTCGAGCACATATATTTTGGTAGTAAAACTCCACAGGATACATGACTCTACTTATAAACTGTCTTTCCACTGAAGTCAAATCTGTTGGACAAAGCCGAGCTTCATAAAACTGAACACTTGAACCATGCAGAGAGAAGCCAAACATAGTACATCCAGAGGAGATTAACAGATCATTAACACTAAGCATAAAAGTCAGGATATATAATTGCATTGACATTTAGCTATCCAAACCTTCAAAAATAATCTGACAAAACAAACTATTATTTATCATATTTGCAATATGAAATTGCATTTTTAATAGGAGTTTATGATTGTGGTATTGCATTAAAAAAAAAAGTTCAAATATAGTATTGTTTCCTTTCAGACATAATGTCAGCATGTAATTCATTTATTAAATCCATGTATGTCCCAGTTATAAATTGCATTGCAATTTCTATATTAATGCACCAAGTTGCATGGCAACAGGATTATTATAGTTAACTAAAACTAAAACCACAAACACCTTTGTTACTTGAAATAAATTATTCATATTAATTATAATATTTTATTTAATCTATTTACCAGGGAAACTCTTCTCATTTTTACTTAGCTAACTTGATGTACTAAAATAAATAAAAATAAAATAAAAATGTATAAAAACTATATATATTTTAAAAAGCTAATAAAAATGACTAAAACTTTAAGTTAAATTTAAATGGAAAGGGAAAATATAAAAATAACAAATAAAAAAGATATATATATTATTATCTCAGTGACAATAAATGCACTGCTTAGCAGACATAAACAGTTCATGCTATTTATCATGCAAATAAACAAAATTACTTGGCAAATTGTTCATGTATTTGGAAAGTATTTAATTTGTAAATACTTGGGTAAGGGATTGGCACAACATAAAGTGATTATTATAATAAAAATACATTGATATTAAATTAATATTAAATAGATAAATAGCATGTTATTGTTGCTATTGCATCTTAGAGTGGCTTCATTTGAGAATCAGACAAAATGGAAATGGACATACGGAGTCAGGTCTGAACATTGATGCTGTTGGGTTGCCAAGTATTTTTGTGCATACAGCCAAGAGGGCATTATCAGACAGCTGAGGCAGCCAGCAGAAATGACTGATATAACTGCCCTCACAGTCCCCCTGAGCTCCAGTGCTTCACATTGCTGCGGACTGGGGCAGGGTGTTCTGGAGCGGCCTGGTGGTGAAAGAGTCTGTCTGACCTGGAGACGCATGAGGAGTGTGCCTGGTCATTACAGGAATTGGTTTCCTGGCTTCTGAAGTTACAATCAGAGCATGGTGCTGTCTCTTTGAAATCAATCCCGCAACCCATGACTTGGCAGACTGAAATTTCTGTACAGATTTCCCCGCAGGTTTAGGCTCCTGAAACCACAGGATCTGAGATTGCCTCATGGAAATGTCTTAGGGACGTTTGCCTTGAGAGAGATTTACATGGCTTGGAAATGTAGACTTTAAATGGGAGGGCACAGGACGACTGGGATGGCACAATTCCTTATGGTTGTTTTCGTGATTTTTCCTCCTTGTGCGTGGCACAAACCAACAATGCCTAGAGTTTACAAACCACTAAATTCGTCTTTTCTGTTGTAGGCTTTTCATAGTGAGGACCAAAATCACTTTTTCCATGCTCGTGGTCCCCAGCTTGTAAAGGTTTCGCGGGTCTGTGTTTAACATCTGACACACAGCCAAGATCTTGGAGCCCGGCCAAACCAGACGTATCACGTGTAGTCTGTCTATTCAAATGAGCTTTGGAAAGAATGCTGAAGAGGTATTGGTGTCTCTCCTCTTGGTCTTGCAAAACTTTTCATTAAGATAAAGGGACCCGAGCTTGGCCAAAGGAGATGCATCTGATAGGGGCTCTGTTTAATAATTTACATGTGTGCTGGGCAATTATACTTCATGAATATCCACGGTTTCTTACAGCTTGGGGGCTAATGATGAAAGCAGATCTCCTTTTGAGTTGCATTGTCACCTTGTCTGATTCTTTTTTCAGAATGTGCTGCCAAACAAGCTGAGAAATGCTCCTGAAATCCTTAAAGCCCTCAAATGACGTGTTTTAGTGTCTTATTAGTATGCATGGCTAGAATTAGGTCTTGCTATTGTAAAATATTCAGACTAGCTCGCCTTTGAAAGTCGTTCTTGAAGCAGGCCGTTCTGCTTTGTCTTGCATTCATTGTCACACACCAACCATGGCATCCCTGGCAAGATTCCACTGCTAAATATTTAAAGCTTGGACAGTGTCCACAACATGTTTGGGCCTCTGTAGCAGAGAAGAATGCTACAAACTAAACACCATGAATGTAACCGTGCACTAATGGCTAGTTAAAACCGGGGGAATAGCAAACTTCTAAGCAACATTAAGAGCAAGACCTGGCTGATTTGGGATAAAAGTTTCCATGTTGCAATACGCTATCGGTTACAACCAAGAAAGCCATCATATAACTTACTATTCAAACAAGTCCCCTGTAATTCAGGACAATGCAAAGTGATGACACCTGTCGATACCCTTCAGGCTGAAAGCACATGTGTGCACCTCTGCATCGCCTGACTGTGTCTCATGTCATTAACACTCCGAAACATGAACTGAGGAGGTGCTTTTCGGACATCAGTGGATCCCAGACTCCCAGTCGCTGATTTCAATTAGCTCAGACAATGGCAAGAGAGCGATATTTTCTATAAGCCCAAGGCATCTTTCCACCCAGAGTATCTAGCTAAAATCTTTCCTCTTCTAAACTAAACTTCTAAACTTGGCAAGATCATATCTTTTTTTCCCCAAGCAAACTTTAGCAGTCCAAACCACATCAATCTTAATATTTAATTACTGTTAAGATAGTATATAATAATTAATAAGAAGTACGGCTGGGCAATATGATGGTAAAACTGTGTCAGCCAGATATTTTGCTATACCATTTAAACCGTGGTAGATATATTTGCATGGCTATCAGTGGGTAGGACTGCTTTACTGAGGTAAATAACATTACATGACTATTCACAAGCTGTTTTATTGATGGTATAAATGCTTGGAAATAATATTTAACGTTTTCAAGTCTATTCATTATTTGTAGTGCGCCAGCCACCCAATAATCGCAATAAGCATGTTTTGTTATTTTTAATATAACACAAATCATAGCCTTTAAATTCGGTCAGTTTTATGAGGAAATACAAACAATAAATGTGTTTTTCCGCTCTTTAATGTGGTGTGAGATCACTGTATTCACCTCAGTTCAAGCGGCATGCGAATCAATCATCGTTTTCCTCTTTTCTACTAGTTCCAGCACAAGATAAACATGAATGAATATCAGAAGACATGTTGAAAAAAATCAGAACAACTTAAAACGAATGTCTCAGTCATCAATCAATCAGTGTTTCGAAAATCATCAATAAAACAGCTTGTAAATAGTCATAACAGTCATAACATAACATTTACCTCAGAAACATCAACAATAACTTTGCTAACATTGTTTTATTATTTTCACAAATCAGTCAGTTAACCACCACAGACCTTTTTTTTCTTTCTTTTTGGAGTAGGTGGAATTTTCACATTAATTATTTTTATTCACGCAATATAACACAACTTTAATATCGTAATTTTGACTCTATTCTAAAAATGTTATGGCACTAAAATGCCGCCATATTTACTAAATTACTTAATGCAAACTCATTCTTGGCACAGCAGCCCAAAACGCAAAAAAACAGAAAGAAAGAAAAAAACGGGGGGAAAAAACTACTCACTTAACATATAAAACGAGTAGTCATAGCTACTCGTTTTATATGTTGAGTAAGTAATAGTACATATATTGAGTGTTATATGATGTAAGACTTATGATTTATTATGAATATCAATAATCATTTTGTTTGTGTCTATCAAGTTACAAAAAAGAAGAGAAAATAGTGGAATAAGATCGAAAGTATTTGCACTTAATTCACTAGATTATATTAAGTTATACTTTACGGCATGATGGTTTAATATGTCAACCATTTATTTAATTAAATTTACAGCAAAAATAACTACAGTTCAATGCAATTACAGTGTTAGCGTGATATAAAGTTACTCACAAAATAAGTTTCATTTCGCCTACTTTTAGTACAACAGGAAGTAGACTTGTTATGCACACAATTGTGTGTGGCTCAGAGATTGAGCTTTATCAGTCGTTTTCGAATGAATCGGCTATTCTAAGCACGCCTTTCCCATGATCCTCAACAACTAAATGTAACAAAACTAACAATTTTGTCTTGTGCTGTATTTTATCTATCCTCCCAAGAATCCTGCAGGGCACAACATTTAAGGCAGCGCTTTGGAACCACATCTGAACCTGTGCTGCAGGCAAGAAATTAGGCACCTTTTGTTCTCCTTCCCTGAAGAAATGTGACACTGCGTCTCCCCTACACTGCCCCGAAGCACATGACAGGAGGTTTCAACAGGTCGGGGTCTTCTGCTCAACCACATGGTTACAGCTCTGCTGTCTGCTTACATTTGGTATGTTTAATTTTCTAAACGTGAGCAGTACATCCATAGATTCAATAGATTGTTTTTGTGCATTCGCTGTTTTGGTCAGCCTGACATGTGTTCCGATTTAGGCAGGGCCCAGCGTGAGGATGTCGCTGCCCGGGAATCACATTTCTGACAGAGACGAGACTACTGTGCCAGCTGATTTTCTTCACAGCTGTTACTCACTAGCTTTCCAGGTGCCAATGACAAATACACGCTGGACAGATTGCTGTTAAACTTTACTGGAAGAAGTCATTCAAGTGTGCCAAATAGGTTCCCTACTTGCATACCTCTGCAAAGGATGACTGGGCACTAGATATACGAGCGCTGTGGAGTGTAGTTTAGGATTATGGAAAAAAAAGAGGAGAACATATTCTGTAACCAATGTAGATTATGCAGAGTTTCAAAAGCTGAGCATCACTTTCAAAAAGTGGAAGAGATCTATTCAGGTGCTAATCAGTGAAGCGAGCCGTATATCTGTCAGCGTCAGTCTGATGTTGCAAGCAAGTATATGTTTCTGTGAGTTTGGCCTGTGGCGCAATATAAACATTAGATGACAGAGAGGCAATAGAAGAACAGCTGCATTCCATTCATTTGTAATCATTGTTTAGTTATGGCTACATCTCTAGTGGGTAAATAAAATGCATACATCAGCAATACCGAAGTAACCTAATATAACAGCCAAGTGCTTTTGGCCCAGTTCTTTACATTCGTTTATTTGCACACTCTTAGATTCGGACCAGCAAATGTTGCGAACGCAGCATACAGTTATTTCGGGCAAGATGCCTGTAGTCATATCTGTTAGCAACTGCATCCAAGTTCCACATGGCATGTCCGAACAGAAAGTCTCCCTTTTGATCATTAGCAAATTTGCAGTATTTGCCAATCCTGGAGCTAAATGACAATCCGGCATTGCCTATTATACTTGGCTCTAAACATCGAATCTTTAAACCGTGATCGCCAGCATTCAAGACCATGAAGGTATGACACTATTCACGTGAGTGGGACATAATTCCATTTTAAACTTGTATTTCAATTTTATGTTTGCACAACTGTGAAACTAAGGCATCTTGAGGGAATAAAAATGGATCGGGAAGACACAGGGCCAAAAGGCTCGGAATCCTAATGCGGGCAAGGACGCTTGACCTCTATCCCTCTTTCCCTCTCTCGCTCTCTCTTTCTGTCTGTCCTGCCCATCTAGTAAAACCAAGCTGAAACCAAATACCACGGTAGGCTAGAAGTGTCCCTCTAAATTCATCCCTATGCTTGACGAACAGCTCTTGATAGATCGGCTCCACAGAAATTCTGCTGAATCACAAGGGATCGTCTGTGTGCCCACTGCAATCACAGAAGGGGTAAACCAGCAACCGCACTCATCAGAGGACTTCAGATAGAGACAAACAGATTTCTGATGTGCACCTGTGTGTGAGGGGGTTGTATTTGTGTACAATCGGTCATGGTGAAAGCCCACAACTGAATTTCAACCTCATCTGTTTTAAGAGTATGTGCTGTCTTGTAGAATACAGCATTGCTGTAGTATAAAAGATAGTTGTGTAACACATTATGCTATTTTTATTCATGTAGCTCAACTGGTAGAGCATTGCACTAACAACGCCAAGATTGGGGGTTCGATTCCCGAGGAAAGCATCAATTGAGTGCACTGAATAAAAGCATCTGCCAAATGCATAAATGTAAATAAATATGCACGCCGTGCACGATTACTCTTCATAAACATGTGCTTTTTGCACATAGGTTGGCTTGTAGAGACACCGTGGCTACCCTCCTCCCCTTGGATTTAATCTTTGAGCGGTAATCCGACCCTCAACACCACCCACAGACTTAGACCTAAATTCAGAGCAACCTAGAATCTCAATCAAGAATATCGTGGGTACGTGGGTACACCGTACAATGATGAGAGGTGTGATCATAACAATGGAGGAGTCACTAACATCAATAGAGCACCAAACAAATGCCATTGCCAAATCAAACAATAACGAAACACAAAGCAAGACTGTATGGAGCTATGCATCTTGAGGTGTCTTTACTCAGTTCTGAGGAGCATACTAAATGATGCAGTTCTGCTGAGTCTGATGCTGCTTTGCTTCTGTGCCAATGAAATGCAGCATCAGAGCAGCCTTAAGCTTGGCCATTACAGAGCATATATTTATGGGTTAATATTTTTATTCACAATCAGACATTTTCATACATTCCATTGCACATCATTTTTGTTTAAATGCATTATATGATACTTTAGATGCAGCTTCAGTACAATAAAAAAGGTACAGTGATGGTATCAGATGGCAATACCATGGCACATTGATATACCCCTTAAAAAGTGCAGTGGGGGTGTGACTTGGCATAGTGATGGCATTATATGGGACTCCAGCCAAGGTATTTATATGGTACTCCAGGGACTTCCAAAACAATGCTATGATACTACTAAGGTAAATGGCAAAAAACATGGAAGTAATATGGTATATGTCCAAAATACAATGGTAGTCCCAATGACACCATGTCAAAAACGCCAAATGGTTTTGAATAAAATACAAATATTCTATTTTTTTTAGAATGTTCAAATATTAAAGTATTTTAATATTAATGATTTTAGTATTAAAGTCTGATAATGATACAATCGTATTGGAATGGTATTTACATTATACTGCGTCCAAAAATACCATGGTACATTTCCAGAAAACGCGGTACCACCACGGTACTTTTTGTAAGTGCCTTTGCAGCATGAAGATGGAAACCGTTTGTTAATAATTGGCTTATGATGAAACATAAAAAGGCTTCACTAATCCTAATAATCTACAGCGCTGGAATATGATGGAAAACAGCACTGAGCAGCGCAGCCCAGCCACAACACAGAAAAGCTCATGCAGAGAAACATGCGCACGCCATAAAACTGGATCAGCGCAAGCCACAAAGTTCCCACCAGATACACGAGCTCAATGCAACAATGCTTTCGTGCAATAAATGCGCACTGCTTTCCAGTCAACTTACCAATGGGTGGGTGCGGTGGTTTGTATCCCTTCTCGTTCGTACACACTCCCTTGCCGTGCAGCAGGGCGTGAAGAGGCTTCTCCTCGCCGTTGCGCGGCAGGCAGCGCAGTCCGTGCGTGCATGTACTGGTGTACACCCCGCACGCCTGCCCCTCCGCCAGAGCGCAAGTCAAGCAGCAGCCGCAGCCGGGCTCCTTCACCAGCTGACAGCCCACCGGGACCGGAGGACACATGGAGAGCGCCTTCTGATCGCACGGCTCGCAAGGCACATAAGAGCCTCCGCTGATGGACAACGCTGTGAGAAATGTACCCAGCACAAGAAGAGCCATACTTCGTTTCAAAGTGAACGAGGTCCTGTTTAAATAATAATAATAATTATTATTATTTAAAAAAAAGAAAAAGAAGCAAGAACTAGATATGAGAGCGCATGAACGTTTGGCTCAGATTCGAGTGAAACCTCCGCATGCAAAGTGAAAGCACAGGTTGGAGTGTCTTAAAAATGAGAAAATAAAAACAGTCTTTGATGAAAAATATATGATGAAGAAGAATCCGGTGGATTTTTATATAAATATATACATATAAAAAAATTATTCACTTGGGTATTCTCCAATAGTCCAGTTTGTGCGCAATTGGTTGCGCACTGAAATTCTGGACTTTCCGAGTCCAAAACACTTTCCCCTCTGGAAGTTTTCTGAGCAGACTGATCAACTTCACAGCAGTGCTTGCCTTTTTAAAAACAGCCAAACCCAAACCCCTAACTATGAATAAGCCAAACAGCGGTGGAGGGAGGCGCACTTGCCAGATCGTGGCGCAGCGCCAGCGCCCCCCCCCCCCCGGGACAAAGG